GTGGCATCACCCCCTGCCCCGCCACACACACACACACACACACACACCCCTGTACACGGTGGCCTGTCCATCATGCCACCAAGCAATTCTCTGATCTCAGGGTGCAATGAAGAAAGCCCCTTCCTCTGAAACCCCTTCCTTCTGCAGGGTGCGGTCTGGGGCCCTGTGTCCCCATCGTTCTGTCTGCAGGGGGTGTAAGAGACAGGTTGCCCAGGCCTCTTGATGATGTGCCGCTGTGGCCACTACAGTCCCCTGCAGAGACCCGCTGCAGTCCTAGGATGCCTGATCTTGTGTACTCCCTACTGAAATTAGATCATCTAAGTTAGCAGAGTTGGTGTTCATCAAGAGTGCTGAGGCTTTCGGGCAACTAGTGGGGTTTATACCGTATATTTCAGCCAGTGAGGAAGAATTGGAATGATGGCTTTTTTGTTTCCTTTTAACTGAGATAAAACGACATACCATCAATTTCACCATCTTAAAGTATAAAACTCTGTAGGTTTTCGTATATTCACAAAGTTGTACAACCATCACCACTATCTAATTCCAGAACATTTTCATCCTTTTTCTTTTTTTTTTTTTTGAGACAGCCTTGCTCTGTCACCAAAACTAGAGTGCAGTGGCACGATCTCGGCTCACTGCAACCTCCACCTTCCAGGTTCAAGTGATTCTCCTGCCTCAACCCCCAAAGTAGCTAGGACTACAGGCATGCACCACCATGCCAGGCTAATTTTTGTAAATTTAGTAGAGATGGGGTTTCCACATGTTGGCCAGGCTGGTCTCAAACTCCTGACTTCAGGTGATCCACCTCCCTCTGCCTCTGGAAGTGCTGGGATTACAGGCGTGAGCCATCGTGCCCAGCCAGAACATTTTCATCCTTTAATTAATTTATTTTTAAAATTTTAAATTAATTGGTTAATTTTTAGAAACAGGATCTCCCTCTGTTGTCCAGGCTGAAGTGCACTGGTGTGATCTTGGCTCATTGCAGCCTCAGACTCCTGCCTCAAGTGATCCTCCTGCCTTAAGTGATCCTCCTGCCTCAGCCTCCTGAGTAGCTGGGACTACAGGTGTGCACCACCATGTCCGGCTACTTTTAAAATTTTTTGTGGAGATGGGGTCTCACTATGTTGCCCCGGCTGATCTTAAGCTCATCCTCCTTTTTAAATTCTCACTTTTGAAGAAGATGGAGCCATGGGCTCCCTGGAGATCTGTGCTCCTTGGGTTCCTTGCTGGGCTTTCCCATTGGCTTGGATCGAGATGTTTCTTTCCCAAGCACTTTATTGAGTTCATTTTTCTCATCCGAGGTGAAAAGGTAATCTCAGGGAGGGAGGCCAGCAGGGCATGGTGGCTCACGCCTGTAATTCCAGCACTTCGGGAGGCTGAGGCGGGTGGATCACTTGTGGTCAGGAGTTCGAGACCGGCCCGGCCAACATGGTGAAACCCCATCTCTAGTAGAAATACAGAAATTAGCCGGGAATGATGGCAGGTGCCTGTAGTTCCAGCTACTCATGAGGCTGGGGCAGGAGAATCGTTTGAACGCAGGAGGCGGAGGTTGTAGTGAGCTGAGATCATGCCATTGCACTCCAGCCTGGGTGACAGAGACTCCATCTCAAAAAAAAAAAAAAAAAAAAAAAAAAAGGTTGGGGCAGGCCGAGCAGGTAGTCACCACCACGTCTGAGCCTCTGGGCCTCTGTGGTTAAATGCAGGACTTAAGGAAAGGCTTCCTGAGGGACCCTGTGCACCGTTTCTGGGGTTGTGGGCGTGCTGTGCCAGGGACAGACAGTGGAGGCTTGTCCGTGCTGCCCCTGTGGTTCCCTTTCTGCAAAGCCCTCTCGACTGTGGCCTGTACGTTAAAGGTGTAGGTTAGAGATGTGGCTATCTTGGTGCTGAGTGTTTTAGAGGAGATATAGGTGGGTTCGGTGTCCTCAGCCTGGCAGGGCTGGGGAGAAGTGAGACAGAGTTTGGCAGACAGTGAGGCCTTTGTAAAACATTCTTTGTCGACACAAAAATGTTTAAAGAAAAAAAAATGAGGCCTAGACTCGGTGTGGCCTCTCTGGATGGAAAAGTGGGTAAGAATCAGGTTATTTCAATCCTCTAGCTGGCAGTCTGGTGTCTCTAAAGCAGATTCATCCTACTGTTAGCTGCCTAGGTCCAGGCATTTTGGTGGCTCTGAAAGGAAAGCAAGAAAAAAAGAGCCCACAAGGGTGGGGACCTCCAGGGGAATGCTCCCAGGTCTGTCTGCAAGGAACAGAGAACCAATGAGAACCAGTGTTCCCTCAATGCCTGGAACACAACAGATGCTTCATAGAGATGTTTTAGAAGAGCGACTGCACGTGTGAGAGGGCCTACTGTGTGCAGCCACTCTGTCTTGCACAGTCCTTATCATCACCCTAGGGGTAGGGAGGTGTGCATTCATTTCATTCATTCATTCATTCATTCCACAATTCTTATTGCATCCATACTAGGAGCCTGATGCTGTCGGTGTACATGAGGACACATGCTCGGCATGGGTAAGCAATTTGCAAAGTTGTGGCAGGGTGGCAGGTACATGAGGGGTGAGGGCTTGGAGAACCGACGGGCGCCACCTTGGGTCGTGGGTCCACCCCGCTCTCCTCCCTGCGTTGGTTGGCCAACCCAGTCTTACCTTTCAGGTGCTAATTTCCTCACCTGTAAATGCAGCAGTCCTAGGACTTATCTCAAAGGGCTTTTTGAAGATCGAATGAGATTACTTGGGGGTGCAGGGAGGGGTTGGGAGACGCTGGCACATTGCCCGAGGCCGTGTAGTAAGTCAAGGTTGGAACCCACTTTTGTCTGATCACAAAAGCAGACCTCGGCCAGGCGTGGTGGTTCACATCTGTAATCCCAGCACTTTGGGAGACCAAGGCGGGTGGATCACCTGAGGTCAGGAGTTTGAGAACAGCCTGACCAATTTGGTGAAACGCTGTCTCTACAAAAATCAGCTGGGCATGGTGGTGGGTGCCTGTAATCCCAGCTTCTCGGGAGGCTGAGGCAGGAGAATCACTTGAACCCGGGTCGTGGAGGTTGCAGTGAGCCGAGATCGGGCCATTGCACTCCAGCCTGGGCAGCAAAAGCAAAACTGTGTCTCAAAAAAAAAAAAAAAAAAAAAAAAAAGCAGACCTCTCCCTTGCCATGGGCTGCCTCTAGGACCCATCTGCCTCCTTTTATCCCTCTGAATCTTTGAGAACCCCTTCACCTACCTGCCCCATGGTGACAGGCACCCTGGACTGAGAGTGGGTGTGGAATTGCCCCACAGCAACAGGTGTAGGAAAAGTAGGCCTGACCTGCAGCCATCCACCTGCACCTGGACGTTCTCACCTGCTGGCTGGCGCACTGCTTCTCTAGGACTGTCCTAGAATCCCCGAGGAGTTTGGAAAACATGGGCTCATCACAGACACCTGTGAGAATGGGTTCGCCGCCCCTCCCCTGTGAGAATGGGGGAAGGTCACCCCTGGCCTCCTCTCAGGCCCCCAAGAGTGCTCAAATGTGATTATGCACCTGGGTAGCATTCGCTTCCCTGTCATCCTCCTAAAGAATCGCCTTCTCCCAGTGCAGGAGGAGTGAGTCTCCCGTTCTCACCCGGGGAGCGGTTGCCTCGTGAGTCCAGAGAATCAGCCCTTTCGTTTTGCGCAGGTGGAGATCTCGGGGCCCAGTTTGGAGTCCTGCAAACTGTGAGTGTGTGAGGAGGGCTTGTTTCTGATGAAACCATTTCTGTCCCGTAACAACCCTGAGGGCAGAAACCCCTACAAAGGGCGCAGAGAGATCTGCTGTCCGCTTGATACCGGGGCGCGGTGGTCCTGGGGGCAGCTTGTTCTGGGGGCAGTTTGTCCTGGAAGGGCCCTGGGGCGCACTGGCTGGGATCTATAATGGTTGGGGCAGGAGGGTGGGTGGGGAGCCCCTTCTCCATGGCCGCAGGAGGTCTTCAGCGCTGCCCCTGCCAGCACCTTCATGCCTACCCCAAGGGCGCCCCACCGCGCGCCCAGAGCAGCATGGAAACTGTGGGAAAAGCAGGGAGCGTGCCTGGGGGCTGCCCTAGGCTCCCCGCGGCAGCTCTGCGCTCAGGACTTTGCGTCTCCAGGAACCTTTAAGGCCGGTGCTGGGGGCTGAGCCCCGGCCCCCTCATCTGAGCCAAGCCCTGCCCCACGCAAGGTCCCCAGCCTGGCGCACCCGGCTCCCCAGCGCCGCGCGCCGGCCGTGTCCCTTCCCACCCCAGCCCCCCCGGGACCCGAGAGCCGTGCAGGGCCAAGCCTCGTGCCCCGAGGCACGCCGAGCAAGTCACCCCTGCAGCCCGCGGCGCCGGAACTTGGGGGCGCGGTGAGTGGGGGCAGGGCGCCGGGCCGGCGGGCGGTGGCTGTGGCTGGGTGCCGGTTCCTGGCTTTAGAAGCCCTTTCGCATCTTGTTGAATCCGGGGCTGCATTGGCCCTCCGAGCTCTCCTGACTGGCAACGTCGCAGAGACAACAGGTCCAGACCTGGGACATTTCCCACACCCGCGTCCAGGACGTGGGTTTCTTCCCTCTTCCAGGGGAGAGGCCCTCGGACTGGGCGTCGCGGCGAGCCCCCGTGGTTTTTGTTTGCTTTTTTACCGTCCTCCCCCCACCCCGCCCCGGCTCCACCCGGGCCTTGGTCCCACCGCGAAGGAGCGAGGAGTCCGCGGAAGGGTTGCGATGGCCGGGGAGTCCGGGACCTCGGCTCCGGGTAGGCGCGCCCCGGGACCCAGCAGCTGCGTGGGCGAGGGGCGCTGCGCAAACTAAGCGCCCTTGCTGGGGAAACGCCAGCCCAGGCGGGCGGTGGCGGTGAAGGGGATGCGGACCAGGACCCCGTGCCCGGCGGGACTGGCCACGCAGAGGTCCCCGCGCCGCCCCCCTGCGGTGCGCACCGCATCTGCGCCCTAGGCCAAGGCCAGGCTCGGACCCCTCCCCCGCACCGACGTGATTCGGATCGCGCGGTGCTGGCGCCGCCCTCATGCGCTCCGCCTGGCCCCTACCTGGTCCCCTTTCCTTTTCAGGTGGAGGAGATGCCGCCGTCCCGTCGGTCTGGGACGAGCCCAGCTCCCCGGATCCCGGGCTGGAGAGACGCGTCGCGGCCCCGGGGCCTGGTGGCACGGGCAGGAAGGAGGACCCGGCGGCGGGCTCTGCCTGGGCTTGCCTGGGCTTGTTCCGAGCCGGGCTGCTTCTTGGTGACCGCGCAGATCGGGGGCATTTGGAGATTTTGCGGGAGTCCTGCAGCCAAGCTCCGGGGCAGGAGAGGCCTGGAAACCTGCACTACCTGCTCGCCCCGTCCCAGCGTGCACCCAGGTAAACGCTTGTGTTTCTCAGCCCGTGCGAAAGTTTGCAAAGAAGGAGGCGGGAACTAGACCAACAACGTTAATAATCATAGTCATAATAATGAAAACCCTGTTCAATTGTGTAGCCTCCATAAGGGGAAGACTTTCCAAGAAGCAACAAAATGTTCTTTGATTTCATAATCTCTGGGGAGAAAGGATTCATTTTTTGGGGTTTTGCTCGGCTACTTCTTTCTTCCCTCCTCGATCTCCGGCGTGGTGCGAGGAAGGCCGACTGGTCCACGGGTGGAAAATGGGGACCCTGGCCCTTCTGCGCCGCTGGCCACGGTGAGATTGCAGCAAATGCTCAACCTCCCCAGTTCCTCTCCTCACCTGGAAAGTGGAAGGATTGATACTAGCCACCCACGGCTGTAAAAAACTCGCAAGAAAGGGAAAGGAAAAGTGCTTCTGTCACTAAAGTAGTGTTGTCTAAGAGGTCAAGGCTTTGGAAGACTTGCTCTAGAAGAGGAGAACCGGAGAGGGGCTTTCAGCCAACCTGGCCCCGAGGTGAACGCGCGCGCCCCCTGCTGGCTGGAGCCCTGTCCAGCCTGGGAGCCGCCAGTGAGGAGGGAGACTGCGGGGAGGTGGTCCCTGGAGTTCCCTGCTCCTAGCCTGGAGCAGCAGGTGCCAGTGCTCCTGAGGTCCCCTCTCTCAGGTTACGTGGATGGGGCCTGTAGTACCGACAGGGCACATGCTTCAGCGCCTGTTTCTGTGTCAGGTGGGAGACAGGAGCTAGGCTCTGCAGAAGGTTCCAGAGTCTGGGCCTTCCTGTTGCATCTACACTAGGCTCCTGGAGCCCAGGGGTGGCTGGGCTCTCTGGATACGTGCATGTGAAACTCTAGCAGATACCAACTCACGTTGAGGGGGCAAAACGGCCCACTGCAGTTATGTTAGCCAGTTCTGCCTCTGCCCAGTTCTGAGATACCTTTGGGACAAATGGCCACTCCCCTGAGCCCCTGTATCTTCCTGCATAAGCCACAAATGCTGTGCAGTCACAGCTGAGGAAGAGGGGAGGTGCCTGTACTTGCCAACATTCCCCTTGAAGGACTGTCCAGGAGCAGAGGGAGCAGCTGGAGGCAGCATCAGTTGGTATCCTGAGCCCAATGGCATCTACTGCCACATGGGATAGTGGCCTGTCTCCTGAGCTTCCCCAAGCTGGCCAAGACTGTCCAGGACTGCCCTGCTCTCCCCTCCCAATCTAGCTTTCTCTTGGGCCTCTAGGATCCCTTGGCTAGCTGGCATAGTGGCATGAGGACGGCACTTTTACACCCCACCCCTGCCCTTGGCACGCATCGCAAATCAATAATGCTAAACCTAGACAGGCCCCCAGGTGTTTCTCATCATAGCATCCATGCAGTGCTTCCCATTGATTGTGTCACCCAATTGCCACCCCAGCCCTACACCTGCCCTTGTAACTGGTCCCTGGGCTGGGGGGTGTAGGAGGACGCAAGGATGAACAAGATGCTGCCCTTGGTTGTAGGACACACTACCTCCGCCTAGAGGTGATCAGATCTATGCATAAGAAAATAACTAGGCAGGACGCATTCATTCATGCGACAAATATTTACAGAGTCCTTGCTATATGCAATGAGTCATGGAGGAGAAACCTACAGAAGGATGAGGGGATGGCTCTTCAGGCAGAAGGGTTAGTAAGTGCAAAGGCCCTGTGTTTGGTGCATTGGAGAAATTTCAAGAAAGCCGGTGAGACTGAAGATCAGCTCATGTGATACTTGGTAACGAATATCACATGAAAACAAGGAAGTTTTCTTGTCTAGCCCTGAAATTTGCCTTGGTTGGCAGATCCTTCCTTCCCAGACAGCACAAATCAGTACTGCAGCTACAGCTGTCTGTCTGACATATTTGTAAGAATGAACTGTTTAGTGCAGGCTCTGGGAGGCAGTGCCATGCAGGTCACTGATATACCTGGTGCCAATCATTTTTCTCCATTCGTAAGGCACCTCAGGACCCCACTGGGGCCCCAGTGTTCCACTAAGGATATGGGTTTTGAGTTAAGGACCCGCCTTCCAGCTCCGTCTCTGTCACTAGCTGTGCTAATTTGGAAATAGGACTTCCTTTCCTGGCTTTGGTTCCTCATCTATAAAAATTGCCCTTATGTTAGGACCTACTTGGTAGAGGCATGGGATAAAATGATTAGATAAGGTGCATAAACCTGGGAGCAGGGTGCTGTGGCAACCATTAGGTGCCATCAGTGATAAAGCACTTTGCTTTCATGGATATTTTATATGTTCACTAAGTCAGAACTTTCCTCTATGCTCATGTAGTCTAGTGAGGTCTGGGGAGTTTCTTGTTTGATTTTTGCATTGCAAATATTGCTCTCCTCCCCTCCCTAAAAAACCCACTGCTTTTTTTTTTTTTTTTTTTTTTTGAGACAAGGTCTCGCTCTGTTACCCAGGCTGGAGTACAGTGGCACAAGCATAGCTCACTGGAACCTGGAACTCCTGAGCTCAAGCAATCCTCCCACCTCAGCATCCTGAGTAGCTAGCACTACGGGCATGTGTCACCACGCCCAGCTAATTTTTAAATTTTCTGTTGAGATGGGGTCTTACCATGTTTCCCAGGTTGGTCTCAACCTCCTGGGCTCAAGTGATCCTCCCACCGCAGCCTCCCAAAGTGCTGGGATTACAGGTGTGAGCCACCACGCCCAGCCTACATTTTTTTTTTCATTAACTAGTATTGCAAATATTTAAGTAGAGTAAAATGCCTTGAGTTGATGCCAAAAGGAAAAATAAGGGTCTATAAGGGGATCCATTCTGACTGAGGCATGACACGGTTTGAGTACACCCTCTCCTGTGTCCCTGGCTGTGGGTTACCGCACCTGGGGCAGGCAGGGGCACCTGGGGAAAGCTTGGCAGAAACTCCTGCCTCTCCCACTCGCAGAGCTTTTGACCCACCAGGCTCACCCCAGGGCCCCGCTCTGACCTCTGTGGCGCCAGGTGGCTCTTACTCTGTCCTGTCATTTGGGGCCCTCAGCCATCCCACCTCACCCCGCACGGTCCCAGCAGCTCCTGCCCGATTCCCATGCCTCCTCTGGACAGAGAGTTCGCCCTCCTCTTGCCAGATCAGTAACTCCTCATGAGGAAAGTGTTTTCCATACTCAGTCGATAGGACAGTGGGGGCAGCAAGGGAGGGTCCACCAGAGGAGAAAGAACCGGCTTGACAGTGGTGGGGGTTGGGGGTGTCTGTTGATTTGTTGAACCAAATTGATTCCTAATCCTGGCATTAAACATCCTCCAAGGCTGTCACCTCATCTCAAAACAAGATTAATTAAAATGGACTTGAATTGAAAGTGGGTAAGACTACTGTCGCTATCACCGCCTGTTACTGTGCAATCCACCACTAGTGAGGGGTGAAGCGAGTTTAAAATCCTGGGCCACATGGTGAACACTCATCAGTCCTCGTCCATGATCACAACAAGGAGCGTGGTGGTGAACTGGCTTCCCAAACCCCAAAGCAAATAGAAAGCCCTCGCCTCCAGGGCTGGGTGCGGTGACTTACACCTGTAATCCCAGCACTTTGGGGTGCTGAGGCGGGTGGATCACTTGAGGCCAGGAGTTCGAGACCAGCCTGGACAACATAGTGAAACCCCTGTCTCTAGTAAAAATACAAAAATTAGCTGGGCATTGTGGTGCGCGCCTGTAATCCCAGCTACTCGGGAGGCTGAGGCAGAAGGATTGCTTGAACCCGGAGGCAGAGGTTGCAGTGAGCAGAGATCATGCCACTGCACTCCAGCCTGGGTGACAGAGCGAGACCATGTCTGAAAGAAAAACACAAAAAGAAATCCCTCACCTCCAGCCTGAAAGACAGAGAAATAGTTCTTGATAATTTGCTGAGAAAAAAAACATTGTTGAATTTGTCACAACCTGGCCACCACCAGCCACCCCCTGCCCTGGACACCCAGCCTCACAGTGCTGGGTGGGAGGTAGGGAGACCCTGCTGGCGTTGGAGGACAGCTGCGGTGGCCTTTCAGGGAGAAGGTGAGACAGGCCCAAAGTAATGCAATCGAGCCTTCTTACCTGGGGGTTCCACATCGGCTGATTCAGCCAGCCTAGGGTCCAAAATGTTCGAGAAAGCAAAAATAAATAATAATAAAACAATAAAAAATAATATAAATGGGCCGGCTGTGGTGGCTAATGCCTCTAATCCCAGCACTTTGGAGGCCAAGACTGGAAGATTGCTTGAGCTCAGGAGTTGGAGTCCAGTCTGAGCAACATAGCAAGACCCTGTGTATTTAAAAAAAAAATAATAGTACAAATTAAAAAACCATGCAGTGTAATAACTATTTACATGGCATTTACGTGGTATTAGATATTACAAGTACTCTAGAAATGATTTAAAGTATGTGGAAAGGCCAGGAGCAGTGGCTCACGCCTATAATCCCAGCACTTTGAGAGGCCAAGATGGGTGGATCACCTGAGGTCAGGAGTTCAAGACCAGCCTGCCCAACATGGTGAAACCCCATCTCTACTAAAAATGCAAAAACCAGGTGTGGTGGCAGGTGCCTGTAATCCCAGCTACTCAGGAGTCTTAGGCGGGAGAATCACTTGAACCTGGGAGGTGGAGGTTGCAGTGAGCTGAGATCGCACCATTGCACTCCAGCCTGGGTGACAAGAGCAAAACCGCATCTCAAAATAAATAAAGATGGTGGCCCGTGCCTGTAATCCCAGCTACTCGGGAAGCTGAGGCAGGAGAATCACCTGAACCCCATAGGTAGAGGTTGCAGTGAGCTGAGATTGCACCACTGGAAGTAACATAGTAAGATGTATGTGGAGGATGTG